GCTGTAAAGTGCAACCAGGCAACCAGGGTCAGCCAGAAAAAACTTGCTGATAAAAACAAAGAGGTTTGGATACATTTTTCTCTTTCTTCTCTTTTAACCTCTTAAGAAGATAAAACCATACCAAATCCCTGAGACGTTAGAAGCTGGACTTTATGGAGAATGGACTAGTATGCTTTGTCCACCTGTGCATAAATTCTACATATATACCACCTGTATAACTACTGCATGGTGTGCGCTTTGCCACAGAGGATGTAGGATGGAAGACCATTGCCGTGGTCTGTCTGCATGGGCTGAGAGGGGCTGACCCTGGGCTGCAGCAGGGCCAGGGCACCCCTATCAGGGTTAAGGGGTGTTGGGAAGCAGTTTGCCAGCAGCGCTTTCCAACCCTTTACATGTAATCTTGGGCATGAGTTAACAGGTTACCTTGCTGAGGTGGATTAACTTGTGCTCCACTAAGTCATTTTGGGATGGAAATCTGTGATTTCATTTGCAGTGCCTGCTTGCATAGGGGAATGCTCTACCCCAAATTCCTGTTGGGAAAAAAAGGAAGGAACAATTAAAAGAAAGGGAAAACAAAGTCCCAGCCCTTTCAGGCACAATCTTGGTTGCTGTCCCAGCAGCAGAAAAGCAGCAAACTTGCTAAGTCGTCTCAGAATAGGCTTCCCAAAGAGGCAGGAGTACCACGCTGCAGGTACACACCTTGCTGACTTTCTCCTGAAGAAGTGGTGATGGTGGTGGATTACCATCCCTGGAGTGGTGGGTGCCCTGTGTTTGTGTGTCACAGGGCACTGCCACAGTGGTGCCAGTCCCTGCTCTGCACAGAGGGTGCACTGGGAGAAATTACACTTGGCAGCCCCCTGTTTAGGTTGAAAAGTTACTTATGTTGGAATCTCGACTGGGATTGAAATACTGTTTATTGAAATACTGGTCAGTAAAATCCTATATAGTATTACTGAGGGATGGATAATATTGATCCCATTGTTTTCTTGCTAAGTGTAAAGGTTAGATCAAGTGCACCATGACAATTTCTTTATTATGAATGTTGTAAAACTACTTGTCATGAGGTATATGATTCAGTATTGTTTTGTATTATCTTCACTCTACCAAATTTGGTGCAATTACAATGATAATTTCCTGTAAAATAGCAGATATCTGAATAATGGACCTGAATTCCCATTAGGATAAAGTCATAAAGCACCAAAGCATTCATAGTAGAGCAAATGATAAAACTACATCAGGTAGATAATCTCATTCTCCAGAATACAGAGCAACCACCAACTAATGTGAATAAGAAATTTAGTTCTGTTGTGGCAGGAGCTCATTCTCTGATGATGTTTATTATGCCTTTTCCATAGATTCTTATATTGTGCCTGTGTTGCAGTTGGCAGGCATGTGCTTCAGTAGCTGTCACATTGAGTATTGAGATAAAGTTCAGTTTTGGCCCCAAACCTCTCTAGAGATCAGCTAAATTGCAAGGAGAATTTTTGATTGACTCCTTTCCGAATGATGGAACAGATGCAGAGCTGTTCAGAGATGAATCACATCTGATATTCTCCAAAACTCAGGCCAGTTCCAAATTTGCCTTGAAATCACACCCCTCTCAAATATTTCTGGTTTGTTTTTTTTTTTAATGTCAGTGAATCCCAGTAACAGCCATGGGCATATCCTTGTAGGCAGACTAGTGCAAGTACAGAAGCAATGATTTAGTTTCAGGATTGGCCACTAGACTCATGCAATTGTCTACAGAATTTTGTGAGACTTAGTGCATGAGATATTCATAATTGCTCCTATTTAATGGCTCCATTTTTGACTGCCTGGACAGCCTTTGATTTCTTAAAATGAAAGGAGGCAGAAGTGGGATTTTATTTGCATACATGATTGTAACAGTAGAAGTTAGAGATAGACAGGGTAAGTTTCTGTCTATTTTAAAAAGCAAAAAAAATTATGTGAATAATTGTCAGCAACAACAATTATTTTAATAGTGCAAACATATGTTGGTTACTCATAACCAAATTTTAGTTATAAATAAGAGTTATCATGAATGCCAAAAGCAATCTAAGACTCAAAAAGGAAGATAATTTTTGAAACAGTAAGGTGGAAAGGAAAATTTCATACAATCACTGCATCATTTGCAAAAATGTACTTTCTGTGCGTTTAATTTTGTTTTATTATTACATTAATAATGTTTGAATAGATCTAGTCTTTTCTATTCTAAAACTCTGTCTTAATCTGCCTGATAGCAATAGAGCTGCTCATTTTTGCAATAGTACAACAAAGCCTATTGAGGAGGAAGAAAGCTTTCTTCTTTGAGTTGGGTTTTACTATTTTAAATTTGGTTTCCATTTGTGAGTTGTGTTTTATCAGCCCAGCCACAAACAATCCTAAGTCTTTCCATAGCTGTTTTCAGAAGTGATGTGGTTTAAGCACACTTTATCCTGCTTTTAGAGGCAAATGAATTACTTGAAGTGGATTGCTAGTCCAAATCTGAATAGACATATAATTTAAGGTTATAGTTTATACATCGCTGATAATTACAAAGCATAATTGGAAAGTGATTATTAGTAATTTGTTATTTACACTGCAAAGTTTTAATATGTTGTTTGAAGAAGGGGAAAAAAATAAGCTGGTCATGCAATAGTTGGACTACATAACAAGAGTTCTGAGGGGGGAGCAAATATATGAATGCCCAAGGAAGCGTTACTGACTGCCAATACTGAAATTAGACCCAAAATCTTTGAATGTTGGTGTTTTCTTCAGCTGGCATAACTTCTTTCCTAAGTGAATGATTTCTGTGTTGCAACTTACTTGTGTTTCAAAGATGATCAGATAAGAAAAGACAAAAAATTATGTGATGTATAAACAAGTTTTGTTATGTGGAATGGATGCTTGTAGATTCAAGACTTAGTTAAGGGCATAATTTATCTTCTTGATCTGAAAGTAAGGAATAGTTATGTTGCTCACTTCAAAGTGCCTTGAAAGAAACCCTTTTGACAGCAAATCTGTTCTTCCAGGCCTGTAAACTGTGAGCCTGGAGCCCTCTGGTGTTACTGTCCGTGATACATACATTAACCATCTACACCAGCACAGTTCACGGTGACCTGTGTCAATAAAGAGCTACCAAGCCAATCACTTTCTCCCACCTAATCATTTGTTGACTCTATTATTTATCTATGCTTTAAAAAAACCCCAGTAATTTCGTTTTGAGAAAGATAACTGATCTCATCCAGTTTTTAGAAAGGTTTACTTCAGAGCTATTACCCAGTCTGTGTCAGAAACAACTCAGAGCAAAGATAGGTCCTGTAAAAAGGAAAATTTAGGAGGCCTGTAAGGCTGCTCTACTACATCCATTGCAGCACTCTGGTTTCATTTACTCCATGTCTTGTTTCAAGGAGTCCTTGCAAGATCTTTCATCTGGTCTTTCATGCCCAAAGCATGTTGTCACCTGTCCTTCTCTTGAATTGAGGGTTCCTGTTTGCACTCTCCTAGCACTGAGACTGCACCTGTGACAGAAATCCTTCCTTCTCCAAGGCAGGGTCTCCTGTACCTCCTCAGCTACAGGTTCTTCATGCCTCCATGATTTGCCTTGGCTTATGTGTCTCTTGCTTCCTGTTTCCCCAGGACCAAAGCCTATCTGTTCTTTTGCTTCTCTTTCTGTTTTTTTTTTTCTCATGCCACCAAACTCTAGGCTGGTTTTGGCCTCTGCTGTCCCTGTCATTATCACCTCTCAGTCTTCCCATATACCACATACCTCCCATTCTCTTCTTTCTCACTGTGTTGGTTTTTGCTCTTTCAGTGAGTTGTACGAAGTGGCTAGTGGCACAGACTTATTACACACAGACATTTCCAGGGAAGAGGACAGCTTCTGGGATGCTGAGATACAGGTGTGGAAAAGCAACTAATGATCTTGAAGCAATATGCATGAAATCTGTTATTTCAATAGGTTAACTGTGGACAAGGAACTGCTGTGGACCAATAAAGTGCATAATGATTTATTTTATATTATAGACAATCTCTTTTCCCTTCTGCAGAATGAGTAGGAGAATAATAATTTCCTAGCTTGCCTGGTAAGGTCAGAGAATCTGTCACGTGTTGAACTGGTCACGAATTCAGTAGTGGTGCTGCACTGGGAAGCCTGGTGGGTTAGCTGGAAAGCGGGGAACAGAGTAGGGCGCCACCTGGAGTCTCACTGGGCAGCAAACAAGCCCAAGACTGGAAAAAGCAGACATCGAAGTAATAGTTTGTCAACAGGAAGCTGGGAGAGAGGTAGGGATTTTTGGCAGCAGGAAGTAGGATGTTACTAGTAATGGTCACGGAAAACTCAGTGCTCTCTTCTGAGTGGGGAAATATATGGGTGGTGGTTGTTCTGTGAAAGAAAAACAGGTGTGAAAACAGCCTAAGCTGCTGCAGGGCACCAGCAGAAAGCCTATGTTGGTACCCTCTTACTCCCTCTACTGAGCTGTCCAAACTGTAAGGTAGGAGAAAAGTTATCGCCTTTAGTTTTTTACTGTTCCCCTTAGCAATCCTAGAACACTTATGAATAAGTTATGTAAAAGATGTTGGTTGGTACTATAGAATCTGCAGTCAGATCTGTGGTGGCTGGTTCAAAGTATACTGTAAGTAAAGCTGCAAAGTAACCTGTCAAACCCATAGATTTACAGTAGCACAATTTCAGGCTTGAGATTTATATATATTGCAGTGGGCTCTAAAATATGAGACTAACTGGCTTGAAATACTTTGGATGGTTTCTGTCAGTCAGGTAAAAAACTTTTGGAGCCACAGAATATGTACAGACTCAGAGATGTGCTTGCTTACTGAAAGTTCACTAATTCATAGCATCTGAAGCCCTGTGCTTGGAACACTAAGTATTTGTCCCCTCTATAGGGGGTTTGGTACCACAGCCTGGAGTGACTTTTGACCTGGAGCTATGCTTTATGGGGCCAGCAACTTTAACGTGAGGGATTCAGTGAAAAGTCAAAGCAGATGTGCTGTAAAATGCTCAAAATTTATTAATCATCATTGCTTCCCCCCCCCCATAAGGAACAAAAATAAAACAATATTCAAAAAAAAAGAAGAAAATATACCATACCCAGACAACATGGCTGAGACTAAGAAATGGGATAACAATAATTCTGAAAGAAATGACCCAATAAATCAGTTTTCCAAAAAAAATAATAAATAGCAATGGTTCAACTTTTACAAGGTTCCTAAGAAAGAATTTACAATTATTATTATTATTATTATTATTAATAATAAACTTTTGTTTTAAAAAAATCCTTCATATGCCCCTGTTGGCAAATATATATATATATACTTCTTCTGTAAACAGTTAACCACAAACAAAACAAAAAAAATCCATATTTTCATACAGTTACTATGCTGATGGTGTTATGTAAACAAAAAGTAGTGTGCAGCAGCTTCTCATAATAGGATTTTTTCCTTTTTCTCACAAAAAATATATAGGGAAATATGTCCATCATAAATTGTCCAAAATATTGAAGTTTACAGTTTTGAAAAAGTATGGCTTTCTGCAGTGTAAGTTTTCCTCAATGCAAAAAGAAACATATAGAAGCAGAGAGGTACAGTTTTCCTTGGGTTTTGTTTGTTTTCTGGATTTATCTTTTGATTTGTCTCAATGAACTGGAATGAAAATGTTATTAAAAATCCATCTCTCAATCTTATGTTACAGCACTTTTCAGAAGACAAATGAACAGAAAATGACAAGATGACCTTATGCTGTACTTCTCAAGAAGGTAAAAGACATGAAAGAAAAAATGGGAGATATATTGATAATGAAAACTGAAATTACGTAGAGAAGACATATTGGGGTTTTATGCAGAAAATATCATCTGTTCATCCAAAATTTTAGCTGCTCTTGACACTTCTGTATTTTTTCAAAGTTTTTTTATTGTAGTCTTATGTCCAGCCCTTGTTTGGCGACTTCTCTCCAGTTCTAATTTTTGACATTTGCCTGTTCCTGAGAGGTCTTTGTCTGGTTTGTCTCCTGTTGGGTGTTGTCTTGGGGAATGCACTGAGCAGTCACACAGCTGCATTTCTCCACGTAGGTATATGAGTGATCAAGGTAGGTTCCGTCACTGCATGTCAGAGTCACCTTTCTTTGGCTGGTCTTGATTTCCTGACAACATGAGCATTTGTGTTCCATTGTGTTTGTCTTTTGAGAATATCTGATTGAAAAACCAAAGAGAGAGATTCAGAATTTATGTGAGAAATACCACTGCCCCTTCCACCTATTACAAAATATAACCAAAAGTTGTTTACTTGCATGTGGGACTATTGCTCAATATTACCATTCTTACAGTATTGTAGTGAAATATAGGTAAGTTGTTCCTAATTTTAAAAATCGATGGATCTAACTCTTCATTAAGGCCCAGAAAAAAATAAAGGAGTTAATCCAGATCACATAGTGAGCCAGTTCAGTGAGAGGAAAACAAGAAACAAATAACCTTGCTTTTAACATGGGCAAAATCTAAACTGACACTGAACAGGCTGATAAGCATTGTGAATCTTGAGGTAATGTAGTACAACGTCATGTCTATTTAAAATTCTAGTTAATTATCACAATGCAAACAGTTGATGACTGGGTGGATGTTGGACACATCAGAAAATCACTTGCAGTTTTCTTTGTGTAACTGGTGTAAAGAGTAGAAGACAAGAGACCACAATTATCTTTTATACCACTCACCGTGAGTAAGCATCACAGCTACCTTCACAGTATGTCATCTCAACAGGTGCAGGAGATACACATCCATTATATTTGATGACAGCCGTAGTATTATGCTTCATACAAACTAAAGCCAGCACAAACCAAAAGAAAATAGGTTAAGATATATGTGCATATAAATAGATAGCTGTGTATGATAGACAGTTGGTAATGAAAAACTAAGATGGATGGAGCTGAAATAGGAAATTGAGTCACAGTACACATTTTTTTAAGAATTGCTAAGGGCCAAATGAAGATTCTTGCTGTTTGTGTTATCAAATGGGTGAATTTTTCCCTTTTTCTTATGCAACTTTGGTGGAGGATGCAGAAATAAAGAGCAGTACAATGGCAACTGCTCAATGCACACCCATCTCCCAAGACTGGCTTCCCTTTCTTCCTTAAAGAGGATGTATCTATGGAAATTAGAGAGTATTCATAGTCCTTGCCCTCTCACAAAAAAAGCTAACATTTAACAGTATGGGATGGGAAAGTTCACCACGTCTTTGTTTCCCAAGGCCCTGAAATGCATGCTGGAGATGTTCTGTTCCTTTCTTTTTCCACCTGTTTCCTTTCTCACCCCAGTGTGAAGCAGTGATCCCAAACTTGGTCTATACAAGATGGGCTAATATACCTAATAAGGCACGTATTATCATTACTTACTCTTAACAAAATTATCATTACTTACGCTTCGGTATTCTTCGGCACTCTATACAGCAACCATCGTCAGATAACTTGATGTCATTCTTTAGTGGGAAAACATATAAAGATAACTCAGGTTTCATATCTGCATACTGAAGCAGACTTTCCCTGCTTCCTAAGTTTCTCTGGCACCAGAGGGGGTTTTTTTTTGTATTGACATGGAATCTAATTTCAAGTAAGGCTAAATATTAAGGGCACATAACTACTAAAATATTAATAAGAGTTCTTTGAAAGGACCAGAATTGCTTTGTTGTCATCAGTAGTAAAATTTCAGATATAAAGCTTATAGCAAATGTAGGTCAAAATATTGAGTGACCAAAGCCAGTACAGGTGAAGGATTATGTCAGACACGGTAACACAATGAATGAAATAACTGACTTGCCAGAGGTGTGAGGCTAGTTCTAATCTACCCTGAGTATTAATTTGAATGAAGTAGCTTATTTTCCTTCACCTCTCCTTTCAATTAGTGAATTCTAAAAAAAAAAAAAAAACCAAAATAATTTATAATCTTAAATAATTGAGGAATAACCCCCCAATTATTTTTCAAAAATCAATATGATTTTTCCATCTATGTCACCTGACACTTTTAGGAATCCAAAAGATTATGCTGTACGCTTTTCTCTACTGCCCAATCCCCAGTGAGGATTGATATATCACCCATTTTAATTCTGAGTTGCTTTTCTGAAATAAAATTTCATGGAGACCAGATTCAGAGAGGACAAAAAGAAAGCTACTTCCTGTATGATGCTTCTGTAGGTATTTTCCTTGGACACCATGATCCTTTTATCACTGGAGTTAGCCACTGCAATCTTTTCAAATATGAGAACTGGTAGAACAGTACTTACTGGATCACATTCATCAGGGTTAAAGGCAGGACAGCTTGTCTGTCTGACGACTTGAATGAACTGGTCAGCATGTTTTTCACATGTGTAAACTGTACAGTTATCACCAGGTGGGTTCCAGTATTCTCCTTCCTGAAAGGAGTCAAAATTAAAGTGAATAAAAATCTTAAATAAAAATGAAAAAAAAACCCAATACCCAAACCCCAGTGTCTTATCATCACTGTATGCAGCAGTTTGATTATTCTGAACAATTTCCTTGAATTTCAGCTGATAGTTATTTGCCATATTATCATACTGCCACAAGTGTTTTTCATTAACCAAGTGAAGAGGTTCTATTTTTATCTGGATATAGATGAACTTTTTGTGTAAATAGGGTAAGTATGTGGACTGATTTGGAAGGAATAATTTATGTTTCAAGGATCTTATCAGAATTTTTGGGTATGTCCATTGAGATACATGGAAGAATTTCTGATGGCTTCACTGACTCACCCTGTCATAAAGCTCTCAGCTAATTTATGGTAAGCTGTTTGGAGCTGAAAACTGCCTCCACAGATAAAATTATCCTTTGAGCAAAATGGGTGCTACATTTTCAGAGCTGAAAGGGCAAATTAGGGCCCATTGCTTTCACCTGTGTATTTTTCTATGTTGATTTCTGAAAGCCGTTGTTCAGTATCACAGTTCCTTCTTGAAGTCTTAGAACTGAAGTTTTGTGGCATAAGATACTATTTAAACTGTGTGGAGGCAGTCCACTCCCTGCCTGAATAAACATGTGTCTAACATGAGAAAAGATGCAGGAAATAAATGTGACAAACACAAGGAGCAGAAAGAATGAAAAGACTGGCGTAGTTCCCCAAAAGTGAATTAAACCAGTAATAATTACATAGACCACGTGTGTAATGTTGTCTCTCACAGTCACCACACAAGCCTCTGCCTTGCACGTGCCGCAGCACTGTCCCGGTTCCTCTGTATACTTATAACCCTGTTTTGAAAGAAATAGAAAGGAAATGACATTGAGTCAGGTCACTGACCTTAACTAGTGGTTATTAGAGCTGAGCAGGGAAGGAATTTCTGACAGCAAAATAGCACTCACCAGTGGGCAGTATGTGTCACAGGTAACAGGCTCACACTTGACAGTAGCATGGTGAGGCCTTACGTAAGAGGATTTAGAGCAGGTGCATTCTTCACAGGGGCCTGATGGAATGGCAGCTCCAGGCTAGGGGGAGTCAGGAAAAAAGAAGTCATTATTAGTCAGTAAACGCAAGTTGCTCTGTGTATGTACGTCACAGAGAATACAAAGATGTATAGGCTAAGCTATCCGTAAATACAATTTTAGTTGTTTTATTTAAGAAGAGTTTCTGGTTTGGTAATAATGATTTTGGAATTAAATTCTGCTCATGCAGAAAGTAGAGCAGAAAATGCTTTTGCTTTTACAGAAGGTGTTGATTTGCTAACCTTGATTAAATAATTAATAATATTATATAATTATATCTCAGGCCTTTCTGCAAAATATGGACCATGATAGAATCTCAAAACCATTGCGTCGTGAGCTATGTGAAGGTGTATTTTTATAGTGATTTACTCTGTGGACTTACCGCATAGTAAGTTTCATTGACTACACAGCCATGTCCTGTAAAGAAGGAAGAAAGATGGTGTCTTAGAGGTGTAAGTTTTAAGAGGCAGAAGTGTGTAAAAAGGCTCCTGCTTTGCAGGCCTGTGGTGGCAACCTTAAAACACTCATTCACAATGAGGCCAAATATGATAATGCAGATAATAAGGTTTTTGTATTCATAAGCTTAGAAAAATATAGCAATAAATAACACATGAAGAAGGTGCACAATACTTACTGCATTCAAAGGTAGGACAGCATTTTCCAGGCTGCATTATTGTGATTATTTCTTGTCCCTCTAAACACTGGGGTGTGACCTCAGGGCAGAGGCTGGTGTTGCAGTCTGTTTCATGGAAGAGAACACAGAAAATAATGAACTCAGAATTTTTAAATGAAAGCAATTTTGTTTGACATGAACTTCAGAAGTTTTCCAATGGGGCAAATATGATGTTGTTTGCCTAAGACAGTTTAATGACTATTTCAGTCTACATGCCCAGGTGTTTTCAGAGTGAATGGGCTTTTCCATAACACTTGTAAAACAAAACATTGCATGAGAAGAACACGGTGATGATTGCTGGAAATAGATAATTCCAAAGAGAAATTTGTATCAGTTGGAAAATCTGATGACTGTCAGTGAGTCAGGAACTTTCTTGAACAATTTTTAAATGTTCAAGACTATGGTTTTTTTAAGTTAATTTTCTAATAATGGTCTTTGAAATAGAAAATATTGTGAATACTTTTTGAATATTGTTTCAGATGGTGGCAGCATTAAAGTTTTTCAATGTTAAATTATGGAAGATTTCAGTTACTTCTGTGTCTAACTATATAAAATCTTTTAATCTTTAAATTTGTTATCTTCAGACATTTAGTATATGCCCTGCAAGAAGGCCCTAAAAAGTGTGATGAGGGAGAAAAGCATTATTACATCCATGCAAAGTATTAAAAAAATGAGAAATGGTTGCTGTAGTTTCCCAAAATGAATATAGTGTATTCCCCATGATAAAGAACTAAGACTACTTACAGCACTCAGTCCTGGTACAGCATGGATCTTCTGGTATCTGTATCTGAACAGGCATGTAACCCGGTTCATCACAAAATACTTGCTGTGTCAGAGAACATTTGTGTTTTGTACAGTGCACCTTAAGAGTATTTTTGTCACAGACACATTCCTGGCAATCTTTTGTCCATTTTTCTCCTGGCTATATAAAAAAGAAAAACACACACAAAGAGAAGAAAAAAAATAAGTGAATTCAAGCCAAAACAATTCTATTTGCTTCTAGTTGACATATTCATGGATACGGTGATACCTGATTATATCAACCTTTTCATATTTTTAGATTTTACAAAAGACTTTCAAATTGAAGCTTCTTAGGGGAAGATACTGGAGGCCACTGAAGGTTCTGAGTGTGTTCACAAAGCTATGACTTTGTTAGTAGTTTCAGCATGAGTGATACAGGATTTCTAAAGGAGAAGTGATTGAGCTTTGCATGCATTTTTGAATACAAAATGATCATATGACAAACTCATTTGCACATTAGGTTGCGGATTTGTATGCAGCTGAGGAACTAAGAATGCAGACTGTGAACAATATCAGCAATAAGTAAAATTTGTTATCCATCTTTCCCTTCATTTATAGTAACTTTAGCAAGACAAACTTCTGTAAATAAAATAAGCTGTATGTGAGGTTATGGAAAGAATATTTCACCACTTACTGTTACATTTCTGAGGACTGCTCTAGCACTTATTATTTTAAGACTAAAAGGGAACCAACATTTGAAAAGACAAAGTCTTCGCCAACCTAAGCAAAGCTTTGTTTTAGTGGAACACTAAGAATCCTCTTGTTTCACTTGTCTGTGCACTTTAAGCCACATTGATTGTGATACTCACCCATCTGGGTACTCCATTGGGTTCCCTGCAAGCTGGAAAGAAAAAGAAAAAAACCCAGACAATTAAATGAATGGAGATTCACACCACTGAAAATTGACATATGTGCAGTTGCAAATAAAAATACTGTGAAGATAAAGCTAACAAGGAAATGAATATGCAGACTAGTTCTTCTGAAATATAGAGTTCTACCATCTTGGTAGGTCTCACATAAGGAAGGATGATGAAAGATATTATTATTCAATTTTTAGATGGGGAGACTAAAGGAGCTTAAAGAAGCTGATTTCCTGATGATCTGACCATGTAGAAGACAGCAGTAGAACTCAGGCCTCCTGACTAACAAACCTGATCTCTATTTATTCCCCAAACTAGCTACAGATTACTTACAACATTCAGGGACACAGATATTGCTCTCTGCACGCAGGAGTGTCATTCCTTCAGGACAGAAACAGCCTTCAGTTATTCCATAGCCAGGATGCTCAATAGAGCTAGAATGAGAGGAATATATGTATTTGAGTATAATATTTTTGTGATGAAGCAGGAGACAGAACAGCATATACAGAAGGTCAACATATCAGATACAAGAGACAAAACATTTAGTCTTTCTGGCGTGCAACAAGAAGCACATATAGACAGAGCTGATTGATGTTTATAAATCTTGAATAAGTTATCCAAATTTGCAACACATTTTGTTATGAAATAACTCAAATTTCTAAGGAAAGTGGATAGGCAATAATAGAAAAAAAAAAAAAAGAAAAATATAAACAGTTGTTTCAGGACGAGGGGCTTTTTTTTCTTTCCTTACCTTTGATCACAGGTATCAGGATTAATGGGCCCACATGGCTTGTATACCAAGCTTGCTGGGCAGCTCAATGCTGTATGGAAAAAGACAAAAAAAAAAATTAAAAATTGGCAGTAGATGCATTTGTGCTGCAAAAATGATGACAGCTTTACCTTCGTCTGCAGCTTCTGTAAGAAAGGACCCCACTGGATTTTTGTCAACAGTAGCCAAGTGTTAGATAGAAGACATGTTTACTGAATAAAAAACTAACTTCTACCATTTATTACACCCATTTTGAGTTCTGCAATACTTACAGCATGTATTGTTGGTCTTTCCTCTCCAGTCAATGCAGACACCTCTAGACGCACACTCTGTAGCATATATCTCCAAACTGGAACACTGCATGGATTCATCATCTATACGACATCCATCGAAAACACAGCCTTTGAAAAATGGTTCTGGTGGTATCACAGCATGACATTCTGCAAAAATCCTGCAGACAGTAAAGAAAGCCACTTTTATGTTAATGAGCCATTATATAAAGTCTATTCCTGTCAGACAACACTTTCCAGTTAATAGCACATGGCTTTCTGCTTCAGAAAGGAAGGTGTGAAGAAACAAACCATAGGAATGGCCAATAAACTGGGAGTTAAGTTCAGGAAAGATTAGGAAATCTGAAGCTCCTTTTATTTTCTGGAGAGGTTAATGGTCATAGTGTTTCTGTATGTGTACACAGCTTTTCATCAGTCTGAGACCATAAATTTAGTGTAAAAGGCAACTGCACTGGGTTGAGAAAAAAGGGATGACAAAAGTAGTCTAGAGATACAAAAAATTGCACATAAAATAGTTCAGAACTTATAAGACAGTACAGAAAGCACATGTAAGAGGGCCTTTATAAATTACTCAGCTAAAAAAAAGCTGTTTTCAGCCTACACAAGTGTAGGAAATACTTCAGGAAACAAGCATTTGTGCTTTTGGAGTTCCGTGTTTTACATAAAATGTACAAAGAATGAAGGACGCTTCTTGACTGTTTGTGTCTGCGTTCTAACCTGTTTGATAACCAGGTTCTTTATGGTTTGTACTGAATACCTAGTTCAAATGTAGAGTTAAGCCTTTGCTTAATACTGTAACTAAGAGTTATTAAGCACACCTTGGCAGGATTGCAACCAGGGAGTACAGATTTTAGTGCTTGCTGCATCCCTTATATTCTCACTTCACCTCTCCTTGCTCAGTTATCTTTGGCTTGCAAGTCATTTAGGCAGAGCTGTTTCCTTTCCAAAGGCTTTTTACTATATATACATACATATATGTATATATTCTGTCGTTAAGCAAACATTTTCAGCTATTATAACATGCTAGGGCTATAGTTGTTATTCTTCTTCTATGATACTGGAAGTTTTGTCTAGAAAGAAAGAATTTGTTCAGGTTTTTTCCTTACTCGCTCAAGATAAGCTTGCAGAGAGGAGGTGTTTCACAATGAGGCTTTGGTGGAGGTGTGGTTATAGGTGGTACTACTGGTACTCCATGACATGTCCTGTTGTCATCAACAATCCAGTGATGAGCCATTTGAGGACAGGAAGAAATGATCTTACCGCTTGGTAAACGGCATTCATCTGCTTTGTTATTTGTACATGTTCCTGGAAGAGACAAGCTGAGTAAGTCTCATAAGCCACGTCAGAAATGCACAATACATTACTGTGCCGATATGTCTAGATGAAATGCATGTGGTGCCTTGCTTCACAGGTTGTGCTTTCTTTACAGTTATATGAACCTTAATTTATGTTCTAGAAAAACAAGCAAGTCTAAAACCCCAGCCCCAAAGAAAAAAAACCTGATTGCTGAAATATTGAGCTTTTGATATCCTACAGGAGCTGAAGAGCAGAACTGTTTTCGTTTCCATTTTACTGCTCTTTAAAAATTTCTGTCAGTCATGAGACTGCATAGCCAGAGTGGGTGAGAACAACCACGGTAGGATGGGGAAAGAGCACTACCTCCAGTGAATGCATCCATCTTACCACACTGTCCTTCGGTGTTGTTGCCAAATTTGCTGTATGGGAGTTTCACGGAGAAGATTAGACCACTAAAGGTGATAGTTGCACCAATCTCTTTTATTTCAACAATCATATTGATGCCAAGAGTGGAGAAAGAAATGCCATCTTTTTCGAAGCCTGGTTTGACAATCTTTTTGTTGAAGTACATCTGAATACAAGGTTAAAAAAAAGAAGAAACAACAAAAGAAAACTTCAGAATAAGCACTGTTTCTGATTGATTGTTTTAGGTAATATTTAAATTTTCTAATCTTCATAATTATTGCATAAGTCCATATGGTTTTGCATCACATCCAATACTCACTGGCATCTCAATAACAGCATATATTTGCATTGATATCTCAGCTTGAACTATTGTATTGGCAAAATGTGATAATAAACTAAGTGGCCTTTATGTACTGTGTTTGTACAGATTGTATGCTAACGCATGGTATTCTATATCCAAGTATTTTCTTTGTATCCCTCCTAATTTTGTGTATTGCGAATATTTTTCCTATGAAAATGAGTGGTAGTTTTCTTTAGCTACAGAAATATTTCTGCCATTGTGTAATAATTTTGCTGGATAATCACACTGTCCTTTTACAACACATTAATTGGCACTGAAGGAGTTATCTGAATTCAAAATGAAGTCAGATGTCCCTAGTGCCGGTTTTATGTAGTGGTCATATTTATTTGTTAGCCTAAGCTTTTTAGTTTGCAGCCAGTATCTTATATGAGCTAACGAAGGTGAACATATTTCCCTAATAGCTTTTTGTCAGAAGTTATTCTGCAACTCTCTGCTCAGTGAACTGGGATAAAGTTAGAGTTAAAACTGTCAGTTACTGTTTTCTTTTGCAGGGAATCACTAGAACCAGCATGCCTTTCTGACTGAGATTTGGCATGGCTTTGTAAGGGGGGAGTACCTATTTAGACAACTTTTTCCTCCCCGTCTTTGCATTGTCTAATTAACTAATAGATTCCTCTGTATAAGAGTGGGAATGACTTTTCATTTTCACTGCTTGCCAGTGCTAGTTCAGGATCATGAGGGTGACACTCCAAGTCATTGCTTTTCTTCAGCTATACCTCTCTTCCCAGTAGGAAATTGAAGGGGGAGTCATGTCAGGGCTCTATTTGGCACCTGAAGTTCCCTATGCAGAGAAAGCAGTCCCTAGTCATCCAGCTGACAAGTGATACACACCCATATTCACTCTAAGAGAAGAACCACACTTGTGACTTGCATTTGTGTTTGCTCATTATCTGTTTGTTTACAAAAGTGAATGGCACAATGTACCAGTTTTCATGAAATATGAATCAAGCACCAGTGTGAGCATTCTTTGTGCCTTCTCTATTACCTCTATTAGTCTGTTTCCTAGTATTATCTACATGTAAACATACATAATACATAATCTGCATAATGCTAAGCTGTTTATGACCTTTTGTTCTTAGAATCTAGTGCAATCCTTTTTCCCCCCCCATAACAATACCCTCTGCCCTCATCACCTCCACAATATGATATTCTAATAGACTATCTCAAATCAGCATCAGTAAGGCTTGTGGACCTTATTTCTTTTTTGTAAAAATAGAGAAAAAAAAAAATGTATTTTACCACATTGGTCATGACACCATTCATGAGTTCCCGAGTCAACACCACTTCTGCAGATTTGTAGAAAATAATAATGGATTTAGGGCAGGAGAGTCCGTCTTTTGCATCGCAGTAATAATTGTCAATGTAAACACGGAAGTTGTCATATTTAGGAACAATCTGTTTCACCAGGACATAAGTGCAGTTTTCAAGGAAAGTATAGTAGATTCCATCGAATGTGATGTAATGAGGATCACCCCATCCACTACACACACCTAGTACGGAGGAAATATTTGGAAGATTAGGATGATAATTAATGAAGAAGAAAGATTGAGAAACTCAAGTGAATATACTGCAATTAAAAGAGCAACCCTAAGAAAAGAAAATGCCAATCTAGTCCATGCAAAGCTTTGCTTTTTTCAAAAAACCTAATTCCTTAATCTACTGGTGCTTACATTGACACTCATATCGGTAACAGCAGCCATTTTCATCAGGTACTAGGACTGCAGGATATTTGTTTGCACAGGTAATTTCCTTTACAGGTGGGCAGTATGTTGGTACTACATCTATATCATTGTCTCCTTTACAGATGACTTCTGTACAGTTGGATAATTTGAAACGTTCTCCAGGCTGCAAAAGGAACAAAAAATTCTTGTCACAGAAGATAGCAAAACCTTTATTAAATCTGACACAAAGACTGAAATGAAAAACTTCACTGGTAGTAAAAGATTGCCAATATTCTACATGATAAATTTCTTCGATGCTAAAAGAAGGTGGGAGCCTTAATTAGAGCTGTTTCTTCTGCATGAGGAGCTCTTCTGCGGTTTAGGGTGATAAGTCTTAGGTTAAAGGAACTTTATACTAACTATGTATCGTGCACTTCACTGTCAGCACAGACCACCACAAAAGGAAAAATAAAAGTGAATGGAAGTAAAAGTAAGAGGGCAGGAGAAGAGAAGCAGATACAAGCCTCCAGAGTAGCTTAAATATTTCTGTTTAGTGAAACAAGAAGATGCACAAGAAAACTCATTCTGTTATGGCAGGGAGATCTTATTATTGATGCAGTGCATCAGTTTTTTACTACCACTAAAGAAATTAGAAAAGAATAATGTAACTTGCTTTATCAGTATAAAAACTTGAAATTAAAAAAAAAAAATTAAAATTTTAAGTCGTATTTTGCCCATCACTAGTAAAATAATTACAACAACCTGTAAATATAACCTTTAAGGACTAAAAGCTGTTACATGCTGCTGTCACCTGAAAAAGTATGTTATTTCAAAAGTAATAAAAAAAGTCAGAAATTACATACCTGTAGGGGAGGGTATGTACTAGAAACACAGCCATGAAAACTTTTCGAAGTGGTTGGCAGAGGAACTGATGTTGTTGTGGTAGACCACTCGGAGGAAGTAGTGGTTAAAGGAGTAGTGACATTACAAGGTACACTGTGTCGTTCAATAGTACATACTGGGCTACAGATGGCATAAAATCTACATCCATCACTATCCATTCTGTTGTAAATCAAATCACCTGTAAAAAAGGAGAAAACATAGAAATAAAAAATAAGAAAAAAGAGATAGAAAAAAGTAAAAAAAGTAACAAGACCAAAAATATTATAAATAAAATTTACAAAAAGAAATAAATAAAAAAAATTAAGCTGACGCAAAATAAAAAAAAAATACAAATAATTAGCCATATTCCACTAAAAAAAAGAAAACTAACCAGGTGAAAAAATAGAGTCACCAATCTTGCAGAAACACGGGGTTGTCAAAATCGGAGATGGAGTCCTAGTCCAGAAAGGTTCAATTCTGGTAATAGTGCTGGTGGGGCTGGTGATGGGGCTTACGCAGTTGTAGTTCGGGGTGCAG